CCCCCCCCCAGGCCCTGCCATCTCAGTCGCATCAGGCCCAGCGATTTGTAGGCAGCCGAAGGTTTCGTTGGTGGCTCAAAAGTGGAAGAAACAGAAGGAAGAACCAGAATTTGTAGCTTAGGAAACCCTCCGATTGGGAATAAAAGAGGCTTTGCAGGGGGCTTCCGGCTGGGACCCCCAGTTCAGCCTCAGACGGAGCTGCAGCCCCCCACCCCCGAGGCCCTCACTCGAAAGGGCCCACGGTCGGCTGGCCCCGAGGCTCCTGCTTCCTCTGGTCCCACAGCCTCTTCCCCTCCCCCCCCCAGAGACCCAGAGCCCAGCCTGCCCCGGAACGGGAGGAGGGGGAGGGAGGGGGCTCACCGTGTGATCCGTGAGGGGGGGCAGCACAATCAGCCTCTCCAGGGTGTCCATCACAACCCGCCAGAGATCCTTCAGCAGCCGCTTCAGCACCGTCTTCTCACAGACGTTGGCAAAGAGGGTCAGGCTGTGGGGAGAAAGGGAGGGGGGCATCGGCGGGGGGACAGCTGTCACTCTCCAAAGCCTCAACCTGGCCTCGGCCATAAACAGGGACTGGCCCTGATGCCTCCCTTGCGCTGAAGGTTCTGCCACCCAGAGAGGCCGTCAACGCTCAGCCTCTGCAAATGAGCCAAGAGGGCTTGGGGGGGGGGGGGCAGGGGGTCCATGTGAGGGTCCAGAAGGCCCCCAGGTCTCCCTGGAGGAGGAAAGAGCTGGTGGGGGAGAGGAGAGCAGAACTAACGTCGCCTCAGAAGAACCCGAGAAGCTGCTGAGGCCCCCCAACCCCTCGGCTGGAGCCTCCACGACACTTTCGCCCACGGAGACATGCCAGCAGCACAGCCGTGCCCCCCGCCCTGGAGCAGAGGTAGTGGGGCTGGGCAGAACCTCCCTCCTGGCCCCCCACCACCTGCACTGCTTGCAGGGCCCCCTTCCATCCGCCCCCCCCCCAGAGGAGGTGTGTGGAGGCCACGTGGGCTGCTCCTTCTTTCCTCCCCTGGGGGGGGCACAGAAGCTGCCACGCAGGGAAGGGGGGGAGCCTGAGGAGCTACGAGAGCCCCCTGGACGACCCGCCTCCTGAGGGCCCCACCCGCTAGCCAAGTGGGCCTGGAGCCCCCGCTGAGGGCCCCCCGGGGAAGACGCGCTGGCCCCCGCCCTTACTTTCCGTCCAGGAAGTCCATCAGAGGCCTCAGGACGTTGTCTGCGTCTTGGGCTGTAGTGTTGGGGCCGCTGTTCCCAGCCCCCTTGACCTGGCCCAGGATCTCCGACATCTGCTTCACACACTCCTCGATGCGGGGCTGGAAACTGAGCACAAGGGGCAAGGTCACCCCCAGGGGCCTCTTTGGGCCGTGCCCGTCTCCCCAGGACAGAGGGGCCTCTCCACGTGGCCCTCCTCCGGGGGCTGGCTCTTCTGCCCCACCAGGGCTTGGCAGACCGCAGGGCCAGAAGGGAAATCACCTTTGTCCCTGGACAGGCACGATCCCTGCAACCCCCCCCCCAAGACCCCATCTGAGTCCTGTGGTGGGGGGAACCTCCCTTCCGATTGAACTTCCGCACTCCCAGCCCCCAACGCTCAGGGAAGCCACTGCTGATTCCTCCCGGTGGCTCAGTGGCTAACACTGAATCTTAAGGCTCTTAAAGGTCTCCGGATCGACCGTTTGAGACACAGGAGCCGCAGGAGGGAGGGAGCTACCGTCACTGGCTCAGCTCCTGCAGTTCGAAAGCAGGGACGTGCAGGGAGATAAATACAGGCACCGCCTCTAAGGGTGCAGGAAGGGAACTGCGTTCCGTGTTTCAACGCAGGCTCTTCGATGCGTGCGTGATGGCATGTCGGCCACGGAAACACCTCTGGACAATGCTAAGAAACGGGGGTGAGCACCACTGCCTAAAATCGGTCACAACTAGCCGGGTTAAACCCGCAGTGAGACATTTATTTCACTTTCTTTTGGCTGAGCCCGGGACAAAATACAACCCTAAGAAATCCAGGTGGATTTCACGCTTCGGAAATCAAGTTCCCTTTGTGCCCCGAGAGCCAAATGCCCATCGCTCCACTTTGTTCGGGGCACCTGAAAGAGGCAAGGAGATCAAAAAGCAGAATCCCCCCCCCTCCCCGGTCCTCCTTTCGGGGCTCTGCTTTCCCTCCTCCTGCCCAGGACCAGGACAGACGGGGTGGGGGTGGGGCTTGGAGGGGGGGGTTCTCACCTGTTTCCGAAGGTGGTGCTGAGCTCATCCAGGACGTTGTTCAGCTTCACCTGCAGCTCCTTCAGGGAGTCGCTGGCCTCGGGGTCCAGCTGCCAAGAGAGGAAGGCTGAGCAGGGGAACAGGGGCCCGGACTCCCTGTGTCCTGGACGTCGCTGTGGGGCAGGAGGACCCGCTCCCTCCCAGGAACAGGCCGGCATGGCATTGGGGCCAGCACACTGGTGCTAAGAGTGGTGAGGCGGGAGAACCCTCCCCATGCTGCCCTGTGCCCTGGGCCACTGCTTGGAGAAGGAGTGCAGGCCAGCCTAGGGTGTGCGCGTAAAGGG